GAGTGTTAGGATTCTGCTCTCATTCCTCAGGGTCTGGCGTCTTCCGTCATCAGCAGGTGCTGGCAACTATGTACCCATTGTGTGGTCACGCAATCTTTCTTTCTTTCTTTCTTTCTTTCTTTCTTTCTTTCTTTCTTTCTTCTCTCTCTCTCTCTCTCCCTCCCTCCCTCCCTCCCTCTCTCTCTTTCTGTGTTTTCTCTCTTTCCCGCTCTACTCCTCCCCAGGCCTGGCTCTCTCCCCCACCCCCTTCCCCTCCTAATAAAGCTCTAAAATCTAACATTGGGTTCTGCCATGGCCCATGACTTTTCCGCCGGTAACCAATGCCACCAACAAGTGCTGTATTACCATCAGTGAGGACTACAAAAACATTAATGAACCAAGGGCACACAAGGGCCATGGGAAGTAACAGCAAGGCCATACTAGGTTATGGGTTGAAGTGGAGAGATCTGAATAAGGGTCACTTCTGCAGGCTAGGACTTCTCCTAGGTTCTGGATGTCCTCAGAAACCACATCGATTGCATTCTAGGGGGGACCTGTTCAGTCTTGGTGCTCCTGACATACTGTTGCTCCTGGTCATAAAAAGTTCTTCCAGAGAGTTCAGAGTTCAAGCCTGAGTGCCCAGAGGAAGCTGTGTGTCCTGGGCACAGACAGGAGAGCTGTTTGTTACAGTTCGCTTCCTGTTACTGTAACAAACATCCTGAGGAGAGGATAAAAAGCAGCTTAGGGAGGGAAGGGCTTATTTGGCTCCTGCTTCCAGGCCACAGTGAATCATTGAGAGAAGTCAGGGCAGAAATTCAAGCAGAAATATAACAAGAAATGCAAGGGAGTCTGCTTAAGGGGTACAGTGAATTTATTAGGACATAAATTGGGAAAGACAACTCACTAAACAGAACAGGTGAATCGTTGCAGGGTCCTGGAAGGCTGAGGTCCTGTCCCAAGCTTTCTGTCACCTGAGTCAGTCGGCACCATCCAAGCCCACGAGGGAGAGACAAGAGCAGCATACTGCCTCTCAGGTCTTAGGGGTAGCCCCGAGGCCACGCCCTAGGGCCTGGTACTTCAAGGTCATAGGTGGAAAGGTACCCACTAAACGCCCCCCTTTTTTTCTAAATAAGAAAGTTCTAGACTAATACAAAGCTATGTACAATAGGAACAATGATCAATTATTGTCCAGGTCATGGGAAAGGTAATAACATAAACAAAATAGAAATACAACCAACAAGAACAACATCAAATGAGACACACACTAAATATCCAGAAATCTCCAGACCATAGGTAAATGGCATGTTACAGAGATTACTCCAATAGCTGTCCTATCCCAAAGAATCTAATTTTAGTACCTAAAATGTTTTTTGCTAAGATATGAGAAGATTATAACTGTAACTATCTAGTCTTCAGCCCCATCAAATGCTATGGGCCACAGGAATATATCATAAGAACTCAGCTGGTTATGGCAAAGCCACTACTTGAAGGGATCAAGGAATTCTTTCAGAGGAAGCCAAATTCCAAGGAGCTTTTGGTGTTATTTGGCTTGTTATCTATCAGCTGTCTTCTGTTATGAAAATCATGTGTGCCTTCATAGCTTTCACAATTGATTTTTTCCTAAGAATTGCTAACAGTGTGGACTACTCACTCTTTGTGCATATACGTTGGAGGTATTTGGAGAACAACCTCAGGAATGACTTCCTTCCCTCCGGCCCATCCGTTTCTTCTCCTTTCAACACTGGAATCAGATATCTCCCTTAGCCACATTCAAGGGCTAACAGGAATAACAGTCCAAACCACCACATAATAAGTCTCCTGAAATTAAGGTAAATTCCACATGGAGACACTGCCTAGGTCAGGTGGACCTTAAGCAATAGCTTCACACAATTTAGCTTGGACCCTCCTTTCTTACAGCCTTACTAACTTTATAGACCGCTAACTCCTTACCTAACCACTTCTAGAAATATTTAGATAACCTTCTGTGCTGACAGCTATGCTCAGTCAGAACTCCAGTTCCAGCCTCCCTGTAGTTATCATCATCGGCAGCACTTGGCCAGGTCCATCCCCAAACAGAGAAAAGTATCTTATCAGAAATTCCTCTGTACCCTCTAAGAACAGACTCTAGTATCTAGACTACCCATTTGAGAAGACCCATTTAGTGTGCCAATTAAGCTTAACTTCCTCCTTTCCCAAATCTTACCTCTAGTTCCAGATCTCTCTTTAACTATCACCAGAGGCATCTAGCTGTAACAGGTTGCCTAGCAACCAAGCACACTTTCCCCCACCCTGCAGAAAAAAACGGCAGATAGCTTGGACAGATAAGGGTCAAAGGGATAAAAAGGCAGTTTTCTTTTCAGAGAATAGAGATAGAACTGAGAGGTATAAGGAGATGGAGAGGAGGAGAAGAGTGGAGAACTTGAGGATGGAGACTGAGAAGGATAAGGAGGATTTTGACCAGAGAGGACGTGTGGATGAGATGGAAGATGAAGAAGAGCCAGATGGGGAAGTACTAGCTGGTTAAGAACAAGATGAGAAGGACCTAGATGAAGCAGCATTAAGATGAGAGAATTAAGATAGAACTTAGAGCGAACAGTAGATAAATATAAAGAGAAATCAGGCAAGAAAGGAGCTAGACCTGAGAACAGAACTGGAACTGTGTAGATAGTATTTTATCCCAGAGGAATAAAGTAGACGGACAAAGAGCTCAGTGTACTTAGATTCGTTTCCCGGAAATAATTCTCGCCATTCATAGTTTTCTCTTCTGAGCCCCTGGGAACTATAATATTAAGGCCGGTCCTTTTAATATTATACAGGAATCAAAAACCTGAGAAGGAAAATAATGTTACCTGAGAAAATAGGAAGTGCAAGCAAGCAGTTTCCAGAAAATTGCAAGAATTGACAGAGACAGCTGGCAGCCTGGACAGTCACCTCAAGTTTCTCAGCACCATTGGGGCATCTAACTTGGCTACAGGGCTAGAGTATTTGACAGACCATTTTCAGAAGCAGGAATTTTGAAAGACCATCTTACCCTGTCTTGGCAATGTTCAGCAGTTGCTTTTCCTTGTGTCCTGCTTGTCCAGAAAAGACAGCATTCTTACTGTGAGCAGTAGAGGCAAGGGTATTCTTTGCCCAGCAGGTCATTTTGTGTCAAGAAAAAGACAAACTTCCATATGGAGTGTCTTGAAGCCCAACATTCTCTCAGGAGTAGATTAGTGCTGCCAGGAACAATCACGTGTCAACAGAATTCTAAGTTATCAAAACATTTAAATGCCATATTCTCTAGGTCTATGAATGTTTGAAGATTACCTATCCATCTGACATATGTTTCTGTAAATCTAGAAAACCTAACTAATATAACTATAGATACGACAAGCATGTGTGACTATTAATCTGTAAGTCTTATCTACCTAAATAACCTAAGGAGTAAGGCTTCACATTAACAAGGTAAATAATCTGTAAACGGATGTACAGTATAAGGACAATGGCCTCAAAATTGTGACAATATACAAAAATATCTTAAATGGAGGTTGTTGCTGTGTCACAACATGGGTGTGTGGGTTGACATGCATCCATGGAAAGAAGATTCAGAGGCATCTTAAGAATGAATATAGCCTTTCATGGCTGCAGGGGGTCCAGCCTCAAAGGACTGAAGCACTTTCCCCTTGCTTAGGGCATTTTTATTTCTCTCTAATTACTGTTTAGCTGGTTAATTTCCGTACCTTCAAATCAACCTAAAAGGAGCTCCCAGAGATAAAATGCCAAATGCAAATTCTTTGATTTCTCGGGTACCAAGGTTTTCTGGATTTCCTGAACCAAGTTTTGCATAGGCCTTTGATCCTTGGGAGACTCTCTGATCCTTGACTCTCAAACATGATTCACACAGGGTGATAAGAGAAACAACAGGTAAGAGAAACAAAAGGTGTGGTTAAATAAAGGAAGGATTAGGGTGAGGTGCTACTCTCTGGAACCAAGCCAGGAGTAGCTCAGCAGGAAAGCAGCCACAGGAGGTAGAAATGTAAAGTGCAATATGAAGACAATATCCTTAATATGTATCAATATACAAAATATCCCAAACAGAGGTAGAACATACAGACAGTATGACAAATATAATTTTACATTTGTATCATTATACAAAATATTTCAAATAGAAGTAGGAACATGTATACAATATGACAATTATAGTATTGAATTTGTATCAATATACAAATTATCTTAAATAGGAATAGAAAAATAGTTTACATTTGTATCAATATACAAGAATCCATATAAGTGCAATTTATCTAAGGCTGATAGTTTACTAGCAGATACAAGAATCTACCTTGATATCCTATACCTATCTATTCCCCTTTGTTCTTTTCCAAAAGGGAATCCTGAGTCTAAATTTTTTTTTGTTCCACCCCCAACCCTATTACAACTTATCCATAGCAATGAGAAAATATAACCTTTTAGGAAAGGGGGCGTCATTTTTTAAAAATTGCTTTTTGCTGTCTAGGGGGCAATGGTCTCTCTGTGGGATCCTATAAGAAAGCTAAATGGTTAAATCTCAAAAGGACTAGCTGTAAAGTCTCAGAGTAATGGGTAAGGTTATCTGAAGTTCTGGCTAGAAGTGTAATATGATGAGCCATTTCATCTTGGAACTGTCCTGAAGAGTTTGCAGTCTAAAGCTGATCATTGAGTGGTCCTTTTTTGGCTGAATGGCATCATTATGGACCAGGTAGAGTCGTTGTCTTGGGGCCCCGTCTTCCTTCTGGAGACTTCAGAGGTTGCTATTGGAAAGAGTTATATTTCACTGTGGAAAACTTGAACATTATTAATATCAAAATGAAAAATTTGAATTTTAGGATG